AAGTACTGCCCTGATACCAAAACCAGGGAAGGATTCAACCGAAAAAGAGAAATACAGGCCAATCTCCCTGATGAACATAGATGCAAAAATCCTCAATAAGATACTGGTAAACAGAATGCAGCAAATCATCAAGAAGGTTTTATACTATGACCAAGCAGGATTCATCTCAGGGATGCAGGGATGGTTCAACATATGCAAATCAATAAATGTAATACACCATATTAACAGAACCAAAGACAAAAACCATATGATCATCTCAGTAGATGCAGAAAAAGCATTTGATAATGTCCAAACCCATTCATGCTAAAAAGCTTACAGAAAATTGGAATAGATGGTCTTCATCTCAATCTAATAAAAGCCATCCTATGACAAACCAACAGCCAACATCATACTAAATGGACCAAAACTGAAAGCTTTCACTTTAAAATCAGGAACAAGATAAGGATGTCCACTATCACCACTCTTATTCAATATAGTTCTGGAAACATTAACCAGAGCAATTAGACAAGGAAAGGAAATAAAAGGAAGAAGGATAGTAAAGGAAGAAGTTTAAATATCATTATTTGTAAATGACATAATACTCTATAAAAGACCCCCCAAAAATTTACCAAAAGACTTCTATATTTAATAACCAAATTCAGAGGCATAGCTGGATACAAAGTCCACATTCAAAAATCCTTCCTGTACAGGAATAACAAACTCCCTGAGAGAAAAATTAGGGAAAGAATACCTTTCACAATAGCATCCCCCAAAATGAAATACCTAGGAATCAATCTAACAAAGGAAGTAAAAGACCTTTACAATGAAGACTACATTATCCTGAAAAAGGAGATCAAAGATAACATAAAATGGAAAGATATCCCTAGTTCTTGGACAGGAAGAGCCAATATATTGAAAATAGCCATAATTCTAAAATTGTTATACATATTTAATGCAATCCTGATCGAAATACCAATAGCATATCTCACAGAAGTAGAGAAAACAATCCTAAAATTAATTTGGAACCAGAAGAGACAGCAAAAGCAATTCTGGGCAACAAAGGGGGTATCACAATCTCCTGGCTTGAAATTATACTACAAAGCCACTGTGATAAAAACAACATGATACTGAAAAAAAAAAACCCACACAAAAAAACCCCATAAAAATCTTTTAAAAAAAGAAAGACCTGACAATTAATGGAACAGATTACAAGATGCAGAAACAACTTCAAACATACTCAGCCACCTTATCTTTGATGAAGGAGCCAAACACCTTCACTAGGAAGAATGATAGCCTCTTAAATAAATGGTGCTGGAAAAACTGGCTTTCTACATGCTGAAGATTAAAACGAGACCCATATCTTTCACCATGCACTAAACTTAAATTGAAATGGATGAAAGATCTAAATATTAAAACAGAAACATTAACTCTGCTGGAAGAGAGAATAGGTAGACCCCTTGACATTGGTATAGGCAAAGACATTATGAACAAAATCCTGATCATACAAGAAATACCACAAAGAACCAACAACTGAGATCTCACCTTATTAAAAAGCCTTTGCATAGCAAAAGAAACCACCAACAGGGTGAAGAGACAACCCACAGAGTGCAAAAAAATTTTTGCCAGCTATTCTTGAAAGGACTAATATCTAGAATATATAAAGAACTAAAAAAAAAAATCCCCCAAATTTAAAGACCCAATCCAAAAATGAGCATCTGAAATGAACAGACACTTCTCAAAGGAAGAAGTAGAAATGGCAAATAAATAGATGAAAAAATGTTCAACATCACTGGTCATTCAAGAGATGCAAATTAAAACAATGCTGAGATTCCACCTCACTCCAGATAGAATGGCTGCTATCAAAAAATCAACCAATAACAAACACTGGCAGGGCTGTGGGGGAAAAGGAGCCCTTCTCCACTACTGGTGGGAGTGTAGACTGATGCAACCACTGTGGAAATCAGTGTGGAAATTCCTCAAAAAACTCCATTTGGCCCAGCTATTCCCCTTCTCGGTATCTTCCCCAGAGCTAAAAGCATCACACCACAGTGATATATGTACACCCATGTTTATAGCAGCACAGTTTGTAATAGGTAAATCTTGGAAATAGTCCAAATGCCCATCAACCAATGAATGGATAAAGAAAATGTGGGGTTTTTTTAAACAATGGAGAACTACTCTGCCATAAAGAATAAGCTTGTGACATTTCTAGTAAATGGATGCACCTTGAGACCTTACTCTTAAGTGAAGTAAATCAGACACATATGCTTAAATAATGCATTGTTTCTCTGGTATATGAAACAGAAGGGATAAATAAGAACCAAAATGTGTAATAGACATTGGGAAATGGGAAGAAAATGTTCACGTGGGATGGGGAACAACAGAGGGAGGAAGGGGAAAGGAAGGAAGAGAAACGAAAAAAGAGAATAGAAGGAAAAATTGGAAACAAAGCTTTTGTAAATAAGGAGGGGAAGAGAGTTGAAGGGAGGGAAGGGGAATGGGGAAAAAAGAATCAAGATACATCATGTACAGGTACAAATTCCCTATGATGAATGTGATCATTACGTGTATCTAAACTGTACCAATAAAATTAGTTTTTAAAATTCATAGAATTGTACATTGGGGTGAAAAAAGCATTTGCTCCTCTAACAACAAAGCCATTTGGATCAGTGGAATCAGGGAACCAATGAGGTCCTGTCCCGACTGTGGGTCTGTTCCCCGAAAGAAGACTCTGACTTCCCTAGACTCTTGTTTCTCCATCTGTAGTGAAGCCGAAACTACAGTAACTACCAATGCATAAAGGCATGTGAGGGTGTTCAGACAGGTGAGGAGACTTGCGGATTTGGGAAAGATGCTACAGAACCACATGGACTTGTGAATCAGCCAGGCCATGAGCACATCAACAGGAAGCCGGGCGTTCACCCTGTTCCACTGGCCCACGCCCACCTGCTCGCGCTCCGCCATTCTGCCTGAACCACATCTGTGAGACTCATCACAAATGCCACCTTCTCTATGGTGGCATCCTGAGGCCGGCTGTCACCACCCTTCCCTACTGGAATCTGGCCCTGCCTCCCTGCCCTTTCACCTGCCAACATCTGTGCTGCACCTATGTCATTTGGCAACTTGCAATGTCTACTCTGCCTGTTAGGTTCTGGAGAACAGGCGCATCTTCCTCTGCTCATCTCTGGATTCCACATAAATGCCTTTTTTGGGAACACAATAAATAGCAAATGATCATAGGATAATGGCTATGAACCAGACAGGCCTTAAAAGGCTTTCCGTAGACCCACATGTTGGATGCTACAACAGCCCCGTGATGAGGGAACTAAGCACAAAGCCATTAGGTACCATGCCCAAGGTCATGCCATCTGTAGGTAGTAAAGCCGGAACACGAGCCCAATCCCCCAGGATCCCGAATGTGCCCTGCTAGGCGCTAGGCCAGTCTGGCTCCCAGCTGTATGTCCACTAAGCTGAATGGGACAGGACTTTGGAGTCTTTGAATAAAAAACCTGTCATTTTGCATCTGGTCCTCACAATGAGCCTGTGAGGTGGGCAGGGAAGCTTTATCCCATTTTAAAGATGAAGAAATTGAGCCATCACTGGCATCTCGCTAGAAAATAACTGGTGACAGCAAAACTGGAATTTATGTCTTTGATTTCTTTTCCTGTGTTCTTTCCCTTGTATCCCACATGCTTATCATAAGCATCTGGCCATGCAAACCAAGGCAGTGGCCCTAGGCAGCCTCAAAAAGCCATTCATTTAGAAAATATCATTGTGCCCCTAATTAAACCACACAAACTTAAAGACACAAGAAGAAAAGACCACCAATTTAACTAAATTTATGTAGTAAAAATTATTTTAAATTGCAGCCAGAAATAGACATGTCTTTCCACTGAATGTTATCAAATTTGATTTGACAGTAACATGTATATAAACAGAATCTTTGGGAATTTCTTCAAGGTCAGTAAACAAATATAAGAAAAATTTCAAAGACATAGTTTGTTTTTTGTAAGAAACACTTTCATAGAAATCCAGGACTCTAGTAGTCCCAGTGCTTCTATAAATAGTGTATAAGTACACTTTTAAAGACGACAAACTGGTTAATTGGGGGGGGGGGCAGTACCAGGAATCAAACTCGGGACCTTGCACCTGCAAGGCAGGCAGTGGAACCACTGAGCTAAGTCCCTGGCCCTCTGGTTAAATTTTGATGAGAATATTCTATGTCCTTGTAAAAGCATCCCTTTCCCTTTTTCACTATATAACATAATCTTCAGCACCTCAGAATTACCTCTAAGAATAAAAAATATGTTATTCATTGTAGATTTTGTTTACCATTTTTCTTTTCTCTCAAAATCCTGGTATATTTGGTTATAATAATCACTGTAGTCAGGAAAGGAGAAAGAGATTGGGGGAACTTCAGTGAGAAAGAGAAAAAAAGTCAAAGCACACTTCAAAGTTGATAAATAATGTATACAAAGAAATACAGTCAAGTCCATAAAAGACTAGAGAAGGGCCAGTAATCCAAATCAGAGGTAAGTGACTTCAACTGGACCAGAAGAACCAGAAATCTATTAAATGTTGAAATGGATTAGATGGAGGGAGTGATAAAAACCATCTTTAAAAGTCTTAACAAGACTTTTTTAAAAAGTAAAGAAAAATAAAAGGTCAAAGGGAAAGAAAAAGAATAGAAGAAAGGGAGTAAGGGAGGGAGGTCAGAAACAAACAGTGAACACTGTTCAGAATAAGTCTGAATATATTGCAAACAGAAGGCTACAGTGCACATGAAAAAGGAAAAGAGGGAGGGAAAGGGGGAAGAAAGAAGAGAAGGAGAGAGACAGAGAGTGAAGGTGACAACACTGAAACATTTGTCAGTTCAGGGTAATTATAATCGTAGCACCAACTGATGGGAGAACACATATGCTGTCACACGTAGCATGCACCTCGGGAACTCCCTTCCAGCCCTCTGACACCTCACCCATCAGACTCCAGATTCTGTGCTCTGGAGCCTGCTGCATACACACCTTGGACTGAGAGGAAAGCGGATCCATCCAGGTCGCTGTTCTGGAGGCTGCATCTCACAAGCCCTGAATCGCTGGGCTGCACATCGTGGATGATCATCTCAGAGACAAAGTTCCCATCCAGGTCATAACTGGCAGAAGTGAAGCGGTCATTGGTGATGATGGGCTCCCGGGGTGTGATGCTCAGGACCACTGTACCTTTGAGCGCCCACATGATGAGCTTCCAGCCTGGGGACACGGTGCAGTTGAAGCGAGCCTCCGAGCCCTTCAAGACTGTTGCATTTTGGGGCCCTTCTATGATTTGATAGCTGGATCCAGAAGCTAGAAGGCAACCAATTTTTCACAGGGTAAGTATTAATCTACAAACATCAACTATGTAGTTGAACTCTATTTACCAGCTGTTAATACTGGGTCTCTTTGGCATTGCTCGGACTCCATGGCTTACCGGTCCTAATACCAGGGCTCCCCCAGGAGCCGCCAGTGGACAGCAGGCCATTGTCACACCCTGCCTCCCACTGTCTCCCTTAGCTGAGTTGTACTGGCTGAATATTGTTTCCCATAAGTTTGTGTCCATCAGATCTTCAGAAGGTGACTTTTGAAAGTAGAGTTTTTATATAGGTGATTAGTTAAAGATTTCAAGATGAAATCAACCTGGATTTAGGATGGGCCCAAAATCCAATCCTAGTGAGAGATCTGTAATACAGAAGTATGCAGAGAGGGGCACCATGTGGCGATGAAGGCAGAGACTGACAGACATGACTACAAGCCAAGGATGGCAGGGACTGTGGTCAGCCACCAGAAGCTGAGAAAGGCATGAACAGATTCTTCCTCAGAGCCTCCAGAAGGAACCAGCCCTGTCCACCAGCGATGTCACAGAAACAGTGGTGGAACTGGGACCCAAACTCAGACTTTCCCACTCTGAGTTCCATGCTCTTTACTCCACGATGTCTCTCAGAAGAAGACCCCCGGAATACCAGACCTTGGTTCCCTCTCAGCAATGCTTTCCTCATTAGTCCAAGCATTCTTATTACCCGTTGATGATGTGTGGTCTCTGTGGGGCAACCAGGCAGCCCACCACATGCACTGGGAGGTCCTCAAATAAGGGCAGCTCCCCAAGTTCCTTCTGCCCTTGTACAAGCAAGTGTAACATGGTTCTAAAGCAGTCTCATTCCCAAGGTCCCAGCAGAAAGGCAGGATGGCAAACACTCAAGAACAAGAGAGCCTCACCTGTATACTCAGAATTCACTGCGGATCGGAACTGCCTCCCACAGGAACCAGAAGCAGAGCAACGTGCGCATGGGAGGACCATGTGCCCAGAACAGGGCCCGGCGCAAACAGAACCACAGCAAGGAGGCCACAGGGAGCCCCTGGCTCAGAAGAGGCACAGCTAAGGAAAGAGCTGAATGCACTGAGCTGACCCACTGTCTGAGTAAACATGATCACACTCATCTGTTTTGTCCCAGAGTGTGACAGAAAAAAAGAGAGAAAGTGTGACTCTCAAAACCACAACTTTGATTGGATTCTATCCTTGGCTGAGGTGCATCTCTCTGACCCAGAATCCCTTTGATCCTCAAGTATAGAAACAAAATTCTCGGGAAGAAAAGTCCAGATGATTCATCAGGGGAGGCAGAGACACTGTTCCCTGGCCCTTTCTGTGAGTCTGAATTAAATTTAACAAGAGAGAGAAAAGACAGTTCTATACCTGAGGAAAGATGACCAGGCTGAGTCCTATTCCCCATACCTGGGCCTGGCAGGGGAGGGCAAATGGATGATGCCCAAGGAGGCTGGGGCAAGAGGCTGGGCCAGGTAACACCCAGGCCCAGCCTGGGGAGCCCAGCCTGGACACCTCCATCAGAATGAGAAAACTCTCCTGGAGCCAGACTTCCGCAGCCATGTGTGAAGTGGTGCGATCAGTTCACCCCAAAGCCAGGGTTCAAGCATGTCAGACTGCACGTGCAACCGAGGACTCAGAACACAAGCAGCCCGCAGGCCTCACTGCAGCTGGGCAGGTGAGCTGGGACCGTGCCAAATGGAAGCTCCTGGAGCCTGACTCAAACTTTAAAGTAAATGAAGGAACCAAATTCCCCCAGCACTGCTACCCACAGCCCGTGCTAGAACCCTAGGTAACCACCCTCCAGCTCTGCCCTGTGACTCAGAGCTGCTTTTCTGGCACTGTGAGGTCTTGGCATCTCGTTCCTCTCTTGTCCATGTCTTATCAACGGCAGTGGGTGACCCTAACCCTACACAGAGCAAACCTGAGAAAACTGTAGATAAGAACTTTAATCAGTCACATACCTCACTCTTTCCCTTTGCGTGGAGCTGAGGCAAATTGTTGGCAGAACACTGGGAAGGGTTGGCATCTCCCCTGCCCTGGAACCTCTGTGTGGCCACCCACTGTGGCTGTCACCTGGCACCAGGACCTAGCGTCTGCTATCTACAAGACTCCTTGTAGGAGTTTATCCACTCACAAGACTCTTATTCCTGTCAGCATTCTCCAGTTCCCAAATCCACATCTACAGCCCAGTCCACTTGCCCTCTTCTCCTGCCCTACCAAGCATCTCCGAGGAAATGACCAGTGGCCATCCAAGATGGAGAGGATCCCTTTTCTTCCTCTCACTCCACCCCAACAACCTCAGGCTTACATCAGTCATGGGGCAGCACACCCACCAGGGTCCTGATGCCCATCAATCCTGCAAAAGTCGGTCTAAACACAAGATCGCTCTGCGGCAGCCTCTTCACAGCTCCCTGAAGTAGCTGCCAGGCCTCTCCCCAGCCCTGGTATGAGGGTCCACTCTGAACCATTCTGTTCTCCCACTTTCCTTGTCCCCAGCCTCACTGGCCATGCCTGTAGACCCCTCAACTTTCAACTTGTCCTTAACACTGTAGCAAACGGAAAAGCAGGGTTGGAGAAGTAGTTTCACAGTCTGGAAGGAGCCAGGGAAAGAAAGTAGCAGACAGAAAAGAGAGCTTTTTTTTTTTTTTTGGTACCAGGAATTGAACTCGGGTCCTTGCATTTGCACAGCAGGCAGTGAAACCACTAAGCTAAATCCCTGGCCCCAAAGAGAGCTTTTTAAATTTGCTCCAACTCCACCCTCAGGCCACTAGATGTTTTTTTTTTTTAGCTATGAAGAGTGAGTTTATTATAAGAACATAAACTAGAGAAGGCAAGGGCACTAGACTTTTTTAAAAAATGTATCAGGGCCAGGGATTTAGCTCAGTGGTTCCGTCGCTTGCCTTGCAAGCGCAAGGACCCGAGTTCAATCCCTGGTACCAAAAAAAAAAAAAAATGTATCAAACTCACCAAGTCTTTTTTGACCCCTGGCCCTTTGCACATGCAGCCTGGAACACCAGTATCACCTGTATCTCAGCTCCTGGCCCAGCTGTCTTCTCCTCAGGGAAACTTTCCCAGATCACCCCCTTGAGGCTAAATTACCCTGTACCATATCCTCAGAGTAGTGGTGCTACTTTGAAGCCAATGTCACAGTGTCATGGTGTTTTATACTTATTTTTCCCCTCAATCAGTCCCTGTCTCCCCTATGAGGCCCTAGGCCCCATGTTAACGGGGACTATGCCTGGCTTTGCTTGGCCCGGCATCCTATACCTCAGCTAAGGGTCGCCTAACAGGTGCTCAGAGACTATTTCCTGGCCGAGTAATAAGTGGTCAGGTTCTACATAAGCCATGAGGCCGGGCGAGGTGCAGAGGAGAGGGAGGGGACCCCTGTGGGTGCACACAGGCGCTGCACCCAGGCATCAGGAGCCAAGGGCAACACAAATGTGACTCCACGCACGAGGGTGTCCAAGAGGACTTGTCTGAGTGCCTCAGCCTGCATCACAGAGCTTGCAATGGGCCCCATGTCTCTGGGGGGCTCTGGAACCTGCCCATAATACCCTGCCCACTGGCATGGCCACCTCCGGGCCCCAAACCAGAGCCTTCCTGCCCCCACTAAGCACTTCCCGCTCAGCTGCAGCATGATAAAATATTTCAGAGCAGCTAAACCCATGAAGACCCTTCTGCTACCATAGGCTAAAGAGGCCTCTCTGGCACGGTGTCCCGGAGCTGTACGTTGAGGGCCACTTACCACCTCAGACTCAGTCTCTAGTACCCTCTCTAAGACCTTGTTTTCCTCTCCACTCTCGTGAGTACAGTACCTGTAAAGGGCTGTGCACCTCACGCCGGTAGACAGGGGCCAGCCAACACCTTTGCCCCCGATCCGCCTGAGCCGAGTCCTGCGCTCTACCTCCATGTGCACAACACCCAGGATCAGAATTCCATGAAGCGGTCCTGACTGTACCAGCGCGTGCTGTGCTGGTACATCCCACTCTATGGACTCTGCCTCACTCTTTTCAGCACTGTCATGACCCGAGTTTCAAAGCCCGTCATCTGGACTCCCTAAGTAGGGCACAAAGTGGGGATGGCTCAGGCTGAGGAGCCATGAGCTGTGCCTGCATCGCTGTTCGTTCTTCAGTGTGATGGCCTCAGGTCCAGGCAGCAAGGAAGGCAGAGTTTGCAGCCCACTGGAGGAAGGAAGGCTAGGCTCACGCCCCGAGGTGGTGGCATCTAGCCGAGACCTAACTAAACCAAAGCTGCATAGCTGGACCCACCGTTCCAAAGACCACCTGCATCATCTCCTGCTGGCAGAGTCTGACCCAAGGGAGATCGTGGCCCAGACCCTGTGAGGCCCACTCCACCCTGACACCTGACACAGAGCTGTGGTGAGGAATGGGGAGGTGTCAGTCACCCCGTCAGCACCCAGGACCTGGGATCCCACCCTGGCCACTGCGGCGGGCACACAGGCTTGAAGGAGGAACCGATGCCAAGGCTGGGCCTTCCTGGGAGACCGTGCAAGTGAGAAAGCGGGAGAAGCAGGTGGGAGAGACTGCAACAGAGGCAGAGTGGCAAGGGCACCACAGGGTCCTTCCTGGAGTGGAGCTGCAGCAGCAGGAAGTGGATGGGTGGAGGAAGGAGGTGGCCCGGAAGGAAGGGGAGCCCTGGGAAGTGCCTCTTCGGGTGCCCCTCCTGTGGGTGAGAGGAGCAAAGAGGTTGCACACCAGCCCCTACCTGTCAGCACAGCCAGGATGCCCAGCACTGCCAGGATGCCACGCTCACGGCCCTCCATCTCCGCATGATCCTCCTCCCCTGGAACACAAAGCAGGCAGTGACGCCCTCCACCTGCACCTCCTCTGCCTCCCAGATGTGCTGGGCAGCTCAGTCTGGCCAGGACTCGAGGCAGGACACGTTGTGACCCCAGCCTAGACTTGCCACAGGGTGGGTGTGGGAGTCACAGAACAAACTGATGTGAATGACAGGGTGGGGACAGCACCGCTGACCTCCAAGTTGCAGGTGAAGTGTGGGCTCTCTGCCCTTCCTTCCAATCAATGAGAAGAATGTGCTGCCTGTGATGAGCTTATGTCCCCTTGGGGGAAGATGAGGACCAAATGGAGAAAGAGACTAGACAGCCTACTAGAAGGAGGCAAGAAATGAGGAGGAAACAATGAGAGTGAGCATGGGTGGGGTGTTTGTCACTTCAGGCAGGTGGCTGGGGAAAGGCCCCTGAGGATGAATGAGGTGACACCCATGTGTGCATCTACTGGAAAAGCTCCCCCTGCACAGCATAGAGCAGGTGCAAAGGCCCTGGGGTGGGACTGTGGTCAGCATGATTGAGGAACTGCAGAGAGGGCTCTGGCAGAGGAGGGGTGAGCGGAAGGGCTGAGGTCAGAGGTTGGAGAGCCGAGTAAGGCCTGGTCAGGCATTGGAGCACTCGAGATTTCTGCAATGTACACTTCTTGGCCCTCTTTCCAGTCCCCTTTTTCTTTTGATTGGTGAATTGAGGCCATTAACATTGAGAGTTACAATTGATAGATATTGACTCATCCTTGTCATGATGTTTTGCTGTTGTTGGCTCTTTTATTTCTTACTTTTTCCCCCCTTTCCCTTTAGTTCCTTACCTTGCCTGGTGGCTTCCCTCTGTTAGGCTTCATGGATTTGTGACCTTCATTGTCTTTTTCTAGGATATTGCTTAGAATTGTTTGGAGTGCTGGTTTGGTGTTCATGAAATTTCTCAGGTATTCTTTGTCATGAAAATATCTAATTTCCCCATTGATTTTGAAAGATAATTTTGCAGGATACAACAGTCTAGGTTGGAAGTTATTTTCTTTTAGGGCTTGAAATACTTCACTCCAGGCTCTCCTTGAGGTGGGAGTTTGTGTTGAGAAATCTGCTGTGATTCTGATGGGCTTTCCTTTGTAGGTGATTTGTTTCTTTTCTCTAACTGCCTGTAGGATTTTGTTCTTCTGTTGGGTTTCTGGGATCTTGACTATTATTATCCCTAGGTGTAGATTTTTTTTGGTCATGGCTAGTTGGAGTTCTATATGCCTCACTTATCTGTGTGTCCAATTCTCCACCTCTGTCTGGGAAGTTTTCTACTATTACTTCTGTGAACAGTTTTTTTATGTCAATTGTACTTTCTCCCATTTTTTCGTGGACTCCTATCAGTCTTATGTTATTCTTCTTTGCATCATCTAGCAACTGCTGGATTGATTTCTCATGGTCCCTTCCTATTTTGAAGAGATCTCTGTTTTCATGGTCTTTCACAGCAATCCTGTCTTCTATATCTGATATTCTATCTTCAGATTCCCTTAATCTGCTCTGCATGCTTTCAATGGAGTTTTTAATCTCCTGGATATCTGTTTGAATCTGTTTCATGGATTCCATTTCTTTCTTATGTTGGGCGATCATGGTTTCCATTTCTTTCTTATGCTGGGCATTCATAGCTTCCAGCATGTTTCTGAGCTCATCTATTTTTTTTATCTGTTTCTCTTCTAGAGCCTCTAATCATGTCTTTCACTCTGCTTACCATCTCTCTAGTTATCTGGGAAGTCATTTCTGTTTTGGATTTTTCTAGACCCAGTCCCCTTTTTCTTTGCTAACCCTGCTGTACATCCTCCACCCATGCAATCTCTCTGCTTTTTTCTTCCCCTGGGCACTCACCAAAACTAGGGGCCCCACAGGGGTGCTTTGGGGGGAGTCACCTGTGCACTGACCACCCTGGGGGCAGCCTGGAAAGGCAACGCCCCCACCCCCACCCAACCCCCATGCAGCACAGAGGCCTGGGTGATTCTCACTCCAGCTGAGGCACCCACAGATCGCAGCCCCGCTGTGTGAATGCACCCTGTCCCTCCAGAACGGGAGGCGTCAGCTCCTATCAGAGAATAGGATGGAAATCCCTGTTCGGGATTTTGTAATGTGTGGCCACACTGGTCCAGGGCTCCCATCTCCTCTCTTCCCCAACAGACCCTAGAAGGATCCCCCCACAGCCGATCCCAGGAGCAGAAAGGTAGATGGGAAACAGCACCAGAAATGGCCCCCAGGCCAGCCTGTGCCCATCTGCAAGTGGCTGGGTCAAACCAAAGAGTGTTGGGGTACGGCGGGCAGAGACTCCGGGCCCTGACTCCTTCTCACATCTGACGCCTATCGGGGTGCTCATAGTCCCTGGGAAGGAATGGATTTTCCCCCTTTTGTTTCCCCGATGTCTTTGGAAAGACACTCAGTGTGTGAGCTGAAGTAACACTATTCCGTTGCCCCGTGCAATATAATCTGACACACATGCAGCAAAAACCAAGAAAACCATCCCTGCCAAGTCCCAAGCAGCCCACACCATCCAGGATGAAACCAGGCCTTCTGAGATTGATCTGCAACCCAGAGTTACAAAGTGTTAAATAAATCATTTACTAATTTCAGGGCTCCATTAAGAGAACTCCACAGGTTCACTGCTCTGCCAGTCCCAGGGAATGCAGGCTCGCAGCAGAGGAGCGGGGAGAGACTGGAAGTTGCCCTAACTGCAGAGCCTGGGCCCAGCCTGGCAGAGCCCACAGCACAGATGCAGGCCCATCAAGAAGAGCTGCAGCCCAGGAGAACCGCATGGGGTCAGGCTGCAGGCTAAGAATAGACTGTTTAACAAGGAACTCTCCACTCAGCAACTTCCTCCCCTGCAGTTGGTTCTCACTTCTCTCTGTCCCAAATCATAGCTGTCCCTGAGTCTGGTAAGTAGGACCCCGGCATGGCTGCAAGTCCTGGAACCAGAGGGAGGTCACGACAGACAGGGTTTGTGAGGACACTGTTTAGAGGGCATGTGGACCTGGGCCATTGTCAGAGAGCTGATTTCAGGTATAAATGAGCTCAGACACCATACTTTAATTAAATGAGGACACGAGCCAGGGATGGCCACTTAATACCTGAGGGGCAGGGGGACCCGGGCCCGAACCCCAGCTTCTCATTCACTTCCTCAATGCAAGGCTCTTCATGTCTTACTTCTTGTTGAAAAGCTGCACTCAGTCTTCAGTCTTATTAAGTCGCATTAAATAGGCAGGATTTAGTCCCCCACCCCATTTCTTGCTGGCCTCACAAGGCACAAACACCCAGAAAAACCGAGGACACCCACCAAGGGAGAGATCCTGACGCAGATCTCAGCCAGCCCCTCTTTCTGGTTCTTGAGGGTAGTTTGATATTGTAACCTCTGAAGGTGTTCCTAAAATGTCCTGTTTCAGGCAGCAGCAAGAACCGAACAGAACAGAGGACTGGGGACTCCCAGGGCCAGGGGAGGGGCTGCAGGGCTCGGTTCCATTCAGGTCTTGGCCAGGCCTCGAGTTTCTCCTGCACTTGAGACTGCAGCCCTCCGGCCCTACCTTCAGGCCCAGCTTCTCAGGAAGTCCTGAGACCCGGGAAGACTGCTTCCAGTAGGTTCTTCTTGTGAGGGAGGAAATGGCATTCACGCCACCCAGGAGTGACCTGACTGGAAGTGGGTTCTCAGCACGTGACTCCTGGGACCCGCAGAGTCCCTCCCAGCTTTACACCTGATAGCAGTAGCTCCATCTGAGGGACACTCGCTCCCTACAATGGTCTGAAATTTCCACACTCGCAGTGCAGCCCCTCACTTAATTTTTAACTTGAAGCTGGAAAACAAACACCTTGTGTGTGCTGTCATCCAGGATCTTCACAGGAGAACCAGCGGAAGGCCCATGAGGGCTTCAGGTCCACTGAGGAGACACCCACCTGACTGACAGACAGTCCTCACGGGAGAGCCCTCCTGGGAGACCCACACTGCAGTGCTTACCTCAGGCAGGTAAGCGTCCCCTGTAGGGCTTCAGAGAAGGTTTTCAGTTCCCAGCAGGCTCCTTGGCTGCTATCCTGTCTCCACACAGACACAGGAATGGACTCTGTCTGGTGGCCCAGGAACCTGATCACTCTTCACCAAGTGACAGGAAGTTCCTCCCAAGGGCTGTGTCACTTCTTAGGCAGGGCTCTGAATGCAGAGGCACGGGAAGGTGTGAGTGAGTGCCCCACACCAGCGGGCCACATTCCCATTAATCATTAGCCAGCCCTCCACCACTGCAAACACGGAAGTCGAGCCCAGAGGCCTCAGGGCCTCCCTTCTCTTCCTCCTCCAGGCTTGCTCAGGTCCCCAGGGGAGGGTGGAGACCACTCTAGGCCTGCATCCTGCTTCAGCTGTTCTTTTCCACCAGCTGGAGGCGGACAGGCTCTTCCCATCAGAAATGCCAGCTGGCCGCCACCATGGCTGCTCCTGGCCTCAGGCAGGGGCCAGTGGGCTGGTTGGTGAAACCGGTTCCTTCTCCCAAGCAAGCACCTTAACATCAACAGGAACAGGTCCTTTTGAGAAAGAAAAAACTCATTCGCAGGACCTGCTCTGGAAGGTGACAGCAGTTTAAGAGTGAAGCAGTTTCCTTTGGAACATTTGCCCAAGGACTAGGCATCGATGGCAGCCTCCACCCCTCACTCCTCTCCCCAGAGGTCCCCAGAAGAACTCGACCTTTTAGATCTCTGTGGCAGTTTCTGGAGGCCACTGTCTCCCAAACCCATTGCTGGACACCTCACTGCACTCTTGGCCTGTCGTAACTGTCCTTTTTGGTTTGTCTCTCATTGTAGGCTCATCTCGTCAGAGGACTGAGGATCAAGGGGTCTGTACACACTGGGCACCAACAGAAGGTGCGAAGCAAGCATTTAAGTCCCAAAAGCAAATAAATGGTGGCGGGTGCGGGGGTACTGCTCCTTCCAGTTGTAGAGGAACAGAATATGCCAACCTCAAAGTATACAACTTCAATTCAGAGATTATTTTAAATGGAAGATGTCTGATTTTCAACAGACTCAAGAGAAAGAAAGAGGAAGGAAAAAAGGGGGAGGAAGGGGAGAGAGAGACAAGATGAAAGAGAGACTCAATAAAAGCCTTCTCAGAATTTTCCTTATCTGATTACAAGAACCATCTGAGAAGTAGGCTGCCATGGATTCCTCCTAGGGAAGATCTACTACCCAATAGGAATAGAATAGGAATTAACCAACTATAAATCCTTTCTCCAAGAGAGCTCTGAGAGTGAGCCGAAAACACGGACACCCGAGACTAGGTCTTTATTAGGGGACAGGATACCGGGGCCGTCTCGGACAATGGCAAGAACAGCAGCCAGGGGCTGGCTAGGTGACTTCTTATATGGGCAAGGGCATAACAGGGGGAGACATAGTGGAGGTAGACATTTGGCTGCAGCCAGAGGTGAGGTTTAAATCCACTGGCAAGTCTGAATTTCTCGGTGGGAAGGACTATAAGCGGGAGAGCTTCGAGGCAGGAAAGTTAGGTTATTGTTTCCCTGAGTGATTTATTGTCTGCCTGGAAGAGCCATTTAGGATGTGGGGCTGACAGAGCCATTTTATCCAGCAAGAACTCTATCAGGTACCACATTAGGATCTTGAAAAGGACAGACCATTCATACACGTATAAGCAAACATTATCACAGACTTTCTCATCTCCCACTTGTTTTTCAAAAACCTATTTGTCTTTCCTAAAGAAACCTATTTGTTCTCCCTTTTCTTTTCCCTATTAAGTTAAAGATAAAAGCTTTAACTCTCAGAGTTCGAGGAGCCTGCTACTACCTTCATGGCTCCCATAGCATAAGACGTAAACTTTGTTCCCTTGTGACTCTCTCTCTTGTTGGATTAATTTGAAGGCCCCAGGTAAATATAAGAAAGTAAAGGAAAAATAATTTTTCTCTTCTCCTACATAGTAACTGGACATTTGTTCTATCTATGTCCTTTTTAGCCATCCAGAGTGACTTTGTTGGAACTGCTTCAGCTGTACTTCACAATTCATTGAACTCCAAAACTTTTTATTCCCAATCTCATGGGCTGTGTTTCCTTTCTTCTAGTGGAACATCAGTAGACCACCCACTCCATTAAAGGAAAAAAATGACACTAAAACATCTTCCCTTTCACAACTAAGACGTTTTTCTACCTACTCTATACTGAATTTTGTCCCCTGCAAAATTTCCATACTGCAACTCTACCCTCCCAACATGAAGGAGTTTGGAGGTGGAGCCCTTGAGTGGCAATTAGGTCACCAGGATGGGGCCCCCATACTGGGATCATTTCCTCCTAAGAACGGGGTGTTGGAGGAGCCCTCCACATGCCTGGAGAGCAGAAAGCCCACATGAAGGCGTCTGCGAGCCAGGAAGGCTCCCCTCACCAGACAGGGCACCACCTGGCACCTTGATCTTAGACTCCTGGCTTCCAAACTTGGGAGAAATAAGTGTGTGATATTTAAGACCCTCTGTTGGTGGAGTTTTGCTATGAAGTGCAAGCTTTTTGGGACACTAGCCCTGCCTCTTCCACAGGCAATGAGCACATATTTTGATTGGTGCAATCACCAATTCTAGGTTACAAATATTTTCCATCTCAGCATTTTAGTATTAAGATAAAAGCCTTGTTTAACAAGAATTTTTTTTTTGCCCAAGTTCTTCATCATACTGAATTTCTCTGACTGTTCTTCACTTCAACCAGTTTCATTCCTGAGTTGCCTGATCTTGAGACATTAGTACTATGTTAGCTTTCTGTCTCTGTGACAAAATCCCTGGGACAAGCAGCTTAAAGGAGGAAAGGTTTATTTCGGCTCATGATTTCAGAGGTTTCTACTCAGGGTCAGCTGGCCCCATTGTTTCTGGCCTGGGAGGTGGAAGGGTGAGACAGAGGGAAGCTGGTTGCCTCACGGGGGACCAGAGGCACACAGAGCAAGGGACAGGGACAAGGTATGACATTTAAAGGCATTGACCAGTGACTTACTTCTTCTGAATGGGCCCCACATTTCAGATCCCAACCAAAACAAGCACCTCCCTAGGAATGCCACGTATTTAGAAGTTATCACTCTAGGTTAGTCTAATCAGTGAGAAAAGACAATATGATGACCACTTGAAACATGAACTGAGCGTAAGTCATGCTGGTCATCTAAACTTTCTAGTCCCATTAATTTAAAATTGTACAATCACCCCTTTGGTTCACTCAAAGCTCTCTAGAGTTTTAGAAGGCCAGTTTCGGTCATCTGGTGCTGTGGTTTGCTTGTGTAAATGATGGATTGGCATAATCCTTATGAATTTTCAGGTAACTTTCATCATTCTCCAGTAATCAATTCAAAATCAATTCTGCTAAGTCAGTGTCTCAGACAGTACCCCTTCAGCTGGTTACATTGTCAAGGCCACTTCTCAGTTTTCAACACCCAAGGGCTACCTGGCCAGTTTCATTGTTTCCCACTGGTTTCCTGGCGGAAGAAAAGCCATATGAAATAATGTACACACACTGAACAACAATGCTTCTCCGCTGAACACAGCCACACTTGAGTCCTGTGGCAGGAGGAGGGCAGGGGTGTGCCCCATGTGGTGACCTCGGGTTGGACCGTTGTCCCTTACAGGTTCCTGACACAGGTCTGGAGGAAGCAGCCCCAACTCTCTGTGCTGAGGGACAATTTTTTTCCCTTAAAATGGGAGATTTGCACCATTTCAAAGTTTGAGTGTAAAGAGAGACTTTATTGGTTCTTTTAGCCTTTACTATTTTTAAATCAGAGAGTACAAGTTTACATCATGCACATTCATGTGGCAACTCGAAGTGCACGGAAGTTCTGAAAGACGCTGCTGGGGTGAGGCCCTGGAAAGAAATTGGTTTTGAAGTAGAATGGAAAAAATAAAGATAGGTAGAAAGGAGACGAGGAAGATCAGAATTTTTAAAATTATACTTTTAAGAAAAACTATAGCTCCGGGGCACAAAACTTACTTAAGCCATTTTCTCTTCCTGGAAATGCACTTAAAAAAAAAAACAAAAAACTTTCTGAGGGTCTTCAGACACCGGGAGCCTTTGACTTGGGCCCTGGGCCAAGCTTTTCACCTGTGAGCAGCGCTTCCTCCCACAGACTCTGCCCTGCAGGAAGCAGCAGCAGGAGCAGGCAGCGGATCTCAGCTTCATACAGGGAAACGGTTTGCACTGCGACACAGCCACCGGGTGAGTGACCGACGGACAGCAGCACACACACCCCAGAATGCCCATCCGGAAGACACCCCAACACCAGTAAAAATACCCAGCTTGGGATCATAAGGCACCCTTCTCTCTTTTCAGGGCCCACACTCTCTATTTCTTTGAGTGCATACTTTTAAAATGTCTGCCTAATAAATCACTCGATGCTGTTTACTGATGAGTCCCGAAAATTCTTTTTCTTCAAGGGAGTTAGTGAACCTGCAATAAGATGGGTTTAGGAACCTCCTAGGACTCTGTCGGGTGACAGTTCGAGCTCTAGTGAGGGGTGGGGCTGGCTAGGCACTAAAGGAAGAGACAAAATGTACAAGGCACAGGGCTGGCAGGCAGTGTGGGACCTCTGTAAGAGTTGGAGGCTGGTAAGGCCTGAATGCAAAGAGGGCCAGGCAGGGAGTTAAGTGTGCAAGGCAAAGGGCAGGGCCAGGATCTTGGTTTGTTGTTGTTGTTGTTGTTTGTTTGTTTGTTTCCAAAGAGATATCAGGAAACTGGAAAAGTTGGAACAGCATGAAGACATCTGTGAGATTATCTGATTTCACACAGCCCTAGCTGTCCTTGAACTCTGGACAACTCTCAGGTACAAGAAATTGAGAGGAAAACAAATTATTCTTCTACAAAGAAATGCAAATGAGCTTTGTCTAGTGCAGAGGTAATTGATTTTTGCCCTGAGGATATTGACCAGCTATAACTTTATTCCTAAGGTTTTAGCATTTCCAGTGGCCTCTATAGTGTGTTGTTTGGTTCCTCTACTGACTCTGCTACATCATTCTGGTTCCTTCATCAATGAATGAGTTAACTAAAATATTTGATATGTGTTCACCTTAGATTTGTATGAGAATCATTTTTTTATCTTTTAAAAAATATTTTATCAGGATCCTCTTGAGTAATTTAGGGATACCAGGAATTTAGGTACAGGATCTCTGTAGACTATCTAGAAAATATTAAATAGGGAAGTCAATGTCTAACCTTGTCTTACTTCCAGAAGAAGCAATTTCATATAAGGCTTAGCATAGTATAAGGAAGAAAATAAAAACCATCTGTGATCTCAATGTCACTTATAGACAAGCATTATGAATTTTTGATGTAATGATGTAATAGTGTCAATTATCTTTCTTATTAAAGAAGTGATACATGCTCACTGTAGAAAATTAGAAAATGGAGTAAAGAAAAAAGGAGAAAATTTTAAAACAGAATGCCCATACGACTACCATGCAGAGACTAGCACTGTTAAAAGCTTGGCATCTTTGTACCTATTTAGTAGCCGGATTTTATTCATGTGATATGTTCCAAACCCCTGCCCCTCCCCTATTACTAGATACAGTATTATTAATGTCTACCCATGCCTGGCCTCTCTGAGCAGGTTCCCACCGGTAGACTTCAGGTGCTTGCAGTTTTTATCACCATCAGTGGTGAATGCTATCACAGCTCAATCAGAGAGGAAAGAGGCACCTAACTGAAAGGGATGGGATCTTCAACCTCGGAGAAGGTAGAAACCAGGCTGGCTTAGTTATTTTCTTGTTGCTGAGACACAATACCCAACACCCACCCTATTTTGGCTCACAGTGTGTAGAGGTTCAGTCCATAGACAGCTGGATCCAAGGCAGGGTGGCATGGCAGAGGAGTCTGGCAGAGAAAAGGCACAGAGAGTGATCAAGGGAGGAGCAGGGAAGTAATAGACCCAGGCCACACCCCCAGGGATCCATCTCTTCTGACAGATTCACCTCCCAAATCGCGTTTAGCTATTGACTCATCAAGGGGCTAATCTGCTGACATGTATCATATCCCCATGATCCAGTCACCTCGCCAAACCCCCACCTGTGAGCACAACACAGACCAAGCCAAGTATTCCACACGCATTCGTGGGAGAAGTTTCAGCTGAATGGAGCTACCACTCATCAAGGAAGGGGTTCAGAATCCTCAAAGAACAAAGAAAGCAGCAAGTTTTTGTGAATTTGCTAGGGTGGGCAACAAGACCAGTAAACTTCATTGGCCAAGGGCATGGATCCAAAATGTGTTTCTTCTCACGAGCCCAGCTGCCTTGTAATTATAGTTTGTTCTTGGGATTGCTGGGTTACTCTTGTATCTGGAACCATCATCCTACACAAAACATCCCAGATTTGTGAGCCTAGGCCTTATGATAGGGACCAAGGCTTGGTGCCCTCAGGCTTGGCTTGGTGCCTCAGCTGAAGAAACACAAGCATAAGGACGGTGCCAGGGAAAGCTTCATCTGGGTGAAAGGGGCAGGTCACAGATGCCAGGAGAAGCTCCATCTCTATTTCTGCCAGTTTCTTCTAGACTTTTGCTTTTGAGTTTCCTAGGATAGAAGGGTAAAAGTGGAAGGTGGGGGTACTTGGGCAAAGGGAGGAAGGAAATACGGATTGAAACAGGCCTGTGTGACATGATGTCTTGAGGTGAGAACCCAGGACTGACAGGGCTGAGGGAAAACTGGAGGAGGTGGCAAAGTTTTTCGACACCTGTCCCTTGGCTGTAATCCAATGGAGCCAAGGACTGACTGCTGGGACCTTCAACCTTGACATTTTGTCTTCCAACCTTCTGAGTAGCCTGCTCCAAGGCTTCCCTCTCTTCTGATTCCTCTTTGGGTGGTTTTTTATTTTTATTTTATTCATTTTTTTTCTTATATCAACAGCTTTTTTATGAGTTATCTCTGTGGCCATAAACTGCATGTGTGAAATACATTAAATGATCCCATGTGAAGATTCAGTGCATAAGATGAAGCACAGGTCTAAACTGTGTTCAGAACATCAAAATCAAGTTGAATTTCCTAGGCTATAGCAATCACAAATTTTTCCTCCCAAAGCCATTACTGTTAAATATACCTTGATAAATTAAGTTCAAGTGTAACTACAATTAAAATATATTATTCAACTGAGCTATGACCTATTTTTCCTCTCAAAGCAATAAGGATAGAAAAGAGGGAAGAGACAGAAAAAGAAAACTCAGCTCCATCAGCAATAGGTCAAGTAAACTCTAGACTACAGTCTAGGACTGAACACTTTAAATGATCTGCACGTCTATGTACAGAACTTAATAGAATCTGGTCCAAGGGTTAAGACAGCAAAGATGACAGCAAAGGCACCATGGTTGTATTCCATTTTAGTCACCTATCTGCTATCTGAAGGACTGAGTGTTTTCCAGTTCAGATTTTCCGCAAAGGTAGCCTTTAAGTTTCTGCAAAGTACCTGACACAACTGTTTTGATAACCCACACATTAGAGAGGTTATCCACAGCAAAGCAAATGGGAGATTAATAATGTATTACCCAGCTGTGTGACTTCTAAAATTAGCAATCTTTCAGTCTACTAAGAGCACTTGAAGCTAGAGGTAATGTTTAGGGTGTTCCCAGTAAAAATTCCCTTGCCTTCTGCAAACATTCTGCTTCTGTGGTTTTATCAGAGCCCCATGACTGTCTGTTGAAAGAGCAGAAGGGTAGAGAAGCAACATGCTATGCTACAAAAGGAAATACTCTATTGCCCACGGGACTTGTTTCATTGTCCTACCCTCCTGTCTCACTTTGGTGGTCCCTGACTATCTCATAACGATTTCTTTAGGATTAATTCTGAAAAATGCAATTGCTACTATGGAGTAAATAAAAAGATCCATGGTGACGCAGGAGTGAACCAGTCCGTGATTAGCTGACTCCGAGGCAGGAGCATCATGGCGGAAGGGTGTGGTAGAGCAGAGCCATGCCGTTCATGAAAACCAGCAAGCAAAGCAGGGAGAGGAATGAATAGGAAGAGTGCAGAAGGTTTTAGGGCTGTCAGCTGGCTATTCTGTATGGCACTATAGTGGTGGATACATGTCACTAGATCTTTGACACCAGCAGGTCCAACACCAAGAGCGAGGCCTGCTGGGAACCACGGATGCCGGCTGAGAAAGATGGGGCCACGTAGGTTCCTCCACTGTAATACATGGGGCCTCTGGCGGGCAGGGTGAGAGTGAGGAGCTTGGGCGAGTGTGTGTGGGTGCCATCTGTGCCTTCTGCTCAATTTTACTGTGACCCTAAGACTGCTCTTAGAAATAAAGTCTATTTTTAAATGAAGTCACTGGGTCGGAAGACACACACACTTTGAGAAATCTGAAGTATTAGCAAAGGCTCTCCAAGTGAGTTATGGTCCCCTGGCAGGTAGTTAGCTATCTCATTTTTGACAATTTGGCAAGAAATTGGTCAGTGTCTTAACTACAAAAGGAGTGGGCAGCCAATTTAGAAAGTGTATAAAATTCAAAAAACTACATCGAGGCCATTAAGAAGAACCCAGAGCCTTGCTGCCCAGAGAAACCACCGTGAAAGTATTTCAAAGCTCTTCGCTCTTGAGTGTGTATACACCTATGTGTCTCTGGGTTAGGGGATGCTGTGTATAATTTTTAACAGTTTTTTGAAATATTATATGGAATTTTGCATTCAAAATTGAATTTTTCCCTCCTTATCTACTGTACTGGCTTGAGTAGTGTCCACCCAAAATTCATCTCCACTCAGAACCTCTGAGTGTGAATGTATTTGGTATAAGGGTCCTTGCAAAAGTCATTAAATGAAGATGAGGCCATACTGGAATAAGGATGGATGATCAATCTAATATGCCTGGGGTTCAAGTAGGAAGGGACATATTTGGTCACAGAGACACACAAAAAAGGAAGACAAGGTGAAGACTCAGAGAGAGAAGCGTTGTGAAGATGCAGGCCGAGATTGGATTGGTGCAGCTCCAAGCCAAGGAACCCAAGGACTGCGGACCATGACCACCAATGAGGAAGGACAAAGGAGATTTCTCCTTGGAGCCTTCAAAGGGAACTCGGCTTTGCTGACACCTTGGTATCAGATTCCCAGACTCCAGTACTATAACAGACACTTTGAGACACTTAATATTAGTCAGCTTTCCCATTACTAGGACACAATACCTGACACTCACAATTTAAAGGAGGAGAGGTTTAGTTTGGCTCATGGCTTCAGAGGTTTAGTCCATGGTCAGCTGGCTCCAAGGTAGGAACATCACAGGGGAAGGGCGTGGTGGAGGAAAAGCACTTGGTTCTTGGAAACCAGGAAGCAAAGAAGGAGAAGATGGCTGGAAATGAAAGGGCAGAAGAACAGACCTGGACCTCAAGGCCACGCTGCTGCAATCCCCTGGTCACATCCAGAAGCATCTTTAC